TGGCAAAAGAAGTTCCAAACGTTGAGAACAGTGGCGGCGGACCCATTAGGCTAGGGGAGACCTAAGCCTCCCCTAGAAAAGGAAGAGGAAGGCTTGGGGAGGCTCAAATATTTTAGAAAATATCATAGATCTCATCTTTAATTTACATATGGTGACCAAAAAAGATTTTGAGCCTCCCCTAGACTGCAATCGTTCCGCCGCCACTGGTTGAGAATGTTTGGAGACGAACAGAAAACAAAAGAGCACCCATTATATGCGAACCACCCGATAGTATTTGAGACCAATTAGTCCTTCAAACTTTGCGCTCGCGCGACATTAGTACCAATACATCGAACTTTTATTTCTTTCTCTAAACAATTGCCTCAACCATTTAATTTCATCCTATGAGACCTATGACTTACCTATTTATCTTTTACGCAAAGTAGGAAATAATAAGTTTATACAGCACTATTCTAGACGTCGAAAGCACAAAGTGAATCATTCTATCGAACATTACTTGTCGTTTTCTTCATCACTAACATTGATTTCTGTTTGTCTCCATTCAGTTCCTATCGTATTTTTTTTCTAAATGAAAGAGGATAAACAAAAATTATTTTAATTCTTAAGAAGAAATCTCGGTCATACTTCTGTTGGAATTATTGATGAGTTGGAAGTTCTTGGTTCTCCGAAAAGCCTAGAGAAAAATAAAACTATTATTCTATACGGAATCTTTCTAAAGTAAATTGTTTGAAATTAGTTTTTCTGTTGCTTCATCTCTTGAGAGTTTGAAAGAATGCAATATCAATCATCCAGAAACACGTTCAGCGAACCAGTAATCGAAAAATAGCACGAAAAAGTGGGGTTAATATAGACTAAAGTAAAATAAATGAGAAAGCAACAAATTACGATGAATATGGCGGCAGCGACGTGGATGATAATGATCGTATTAGTACTGGTGCAGATGGATATTCCGGTGTTGGTGGATGAGCAGCTAGCTTTTCTGAACCATTTATTGGTTCTATATCCAATATAGATGAAGTCTATATGAGAGAAAATATGAAATAGATACAATGCCTTGCGTGTAGGACAAACTTTTAAAGTTTTCTGTGCCATTGAACTCGTAGTGTCTTCAGGTCTAAAAACAGAAATTAATAATAATTACTATAGTCAGAATAGAAAATATTTTCGTTTGAAATGGGTAACAATTTTAAGATAAATTTCGTTGTTAATGCGGTTATGGGAAATGACAACATTCTTTTATGTTGTAGGACAGTATTTCAACCTATTATGATCATTATCAAATCAATACAAATAACTGTAACAGAAGATGAAAACTTAAAAATTCCATTTCAGTTTCTCTATTTCGCATAACTGCATTAACTATACAATTTACCTTAAAGACGAAAATGTAAGAAATCAATAAATTCACTCCATTTTCCATCTTCGCCATAGTCAGTCAAAATTATATCGCTTTCCAGAGCAGCATTTAAAACAATCTGTTGTTTCAGACCCTGAATACCTGGAAAGATAATAGCTTTTCGAAAAGTTCACGCGAAACGTAATGTGCCCGTAATTCAAAAATCGAGCAAAAGTTTCGTTTCGCTTTTCAAATATAAAGCTCGTCGAGTTATGGAAAACATCGATTTTATTGTTTATAAAATACTTTTCCTGTGAAAAAGCTAAAAGGTGACTTAGGTCAAATTTAGTGACATTTTCAAACTAAGTAACATTTGCTCCTTTATCCTGCAGGTGGTTTGAACGGAAGCTGTGAGTTTCTGTCGATTTCTTGGTAGGATGAGATGTGTATGTCTTTCACGGCTGCAGTCATGATAACGGGCACCACATGATCGTGAGCATTTGAAAAAGTGCTGGTCACAGTACAATATACTAGGAAATAAGGCAAAGAAATCTTTTTGTTATTTTCTCATTAGTTTTTGTTGTCACTTTTCTGTTCTGCAGTAAACAATGTCGAGTGTAAATGATGTAGATGCAAGGACAACTAAACTTCAGTGGAAAAGACATCGCCTAGATACTATCGGGCAAAAACTTTTCTCGAAAAAACTGGATAAAAGTTTCAAAAAATTTTCTCGTGATCGCCATGATCGTAGTTATTCCGAAAATAGCTTTGTAACTGTAACAACGACGAAAAACGTTTGGTCACGCACATTTCTAGATGGTACAGTTGTCACAAATCAGAGGTGGCTTCGCGATTATTACAGATTTGAGGGAAAATTTTGAGTTTCAATCGTTTTTCTGGCGGTAGCTTCTTTTCGTAATACAGTATTCTCCGAAAACAGTAAGCGAATAGGACGGAATTTAGCTAACTTTCTCGGCATTCCAAAAAGCCACTTTTGGTGTCGCAAAGACGTATATTATGATAAAGAGCACACCTGAACGTACTTCAAAACTTACTCGAACGTTCTTTAACGTATGTGTCACTATTAAAAGAAATTCGTTATGAAAACAACTTATAAAATAAAATAATTATTCGAATAATAAAATATAAAAGTTTGGTCGGCGACAGAATTTTTCGTAGCATTTTCTACTAGGCATGCACCAGTTTTTAACTGATGTTGGGGCATCCGGGAGAATTGCTACAAATCAGTTATTACGATTCTCTCAGAGCTGTAAAACATCTAATTTTGTAGAAAAATGTTTGCTCTACAAAATGCATTTGTTAAAAGAATTCCAGAATCATTTCTAAGAAAACTCGGAGTATTCAAAAATACATTAAATC